TTCTATGTCTGATTTATTTCCCTTAGCATCACCCTCTCCAGTTCCATACATTTTGTCACAAACAATAAGAGTTCATCTATTTTTTATAGTTGTGTAGTATTCTATCATGTATATAAAGGACATGTTCCTAATCTAGTCCTCCATCTGTGGACACTTTGTTTATTTCCATAACTCGGCTTTTATGGAGTTGCAGTGAGTACACAGGAGTACATACATCCCTTCAAATTTGTGCATTTACATTCTTCATGTGTATATCTAGGAGTGGAAATGCTGGGTCATATGGGAGACTTGCTTTTAATATTTTGAGAGAAACCTCCATACTATCTTCCACAGGGGGCTGGGCCAGTCTACGTTCCCACCAACAGTGTACATGCGTTCATTTTTTCCAATTCCTCACAAATACTTATTTCTGGTCTTTTTGAGATGAGCCACTCTCACAGGTGTGAGATGGTATCGTATGATTTTGATTTGTATTTTCCTGGTGGTAAGTTATTGACTTGTTTTTGAGGATATCCATGCATTCTTTTAAAGTTCTAGAGAATGTTGCTAAAGATTGGAAGATGTTCTGGTCATTGTCTTTATATATTTCATGCTATAAAATCTTGGCATACAAAATGTGGACCAGCAACATTCAAATTTGTTTTATCCAGTTCAGGATCTCTTAGAGTGTTAACTTCAAGTCAAATGCATATAACTTCAAGTCAAATGCGCAGCAGTTGAGCGCTGGGCTGTGAAGCTGTCCGTAGCCTCTGCAGCGCCGGTTCAATCCCCGGCTGCCGGCGAGGGGCCCGCATGGCATGCAGACCTCTCCTGCCGCACCCACTGCTACACTCAGCAGTGTGTTTCGTCAGTCTTCCTGTTCTGTGCCTGACTCTGGTGAATTCTCTGACCCTCCCAGCTTCTGACTATAGTCAGTGCTTGTATAAATAAATTAATTAATTTGAAAAATGCATATAACTACAATAGGAATTTATTGGAGGAAATCCACATTTCAATATTATAAGCATAGATCTCAACCAAAAGCAAAGAAGGAAAAGGTAATGAATCTTTTGGCACAGTTCAGAAGACTGGCATGCAGAGTAGGAAGTACCCATCCAGAGAGCTCCTGGTATCTGTCCTTATGTAGGGAATGGGGAGGGCCAAGGGGGAACCACTTTTCAGTAAGAGAGTCCCTGGTGGCTCTTGCCAAATCCTGAAGAAGGCAGCAATATAGGAATGATATCCATAGCCTCTCAAATTGCCTTAAATGTGGTGCATATATATATATATATATACACATACCACTTTTCAGAAGCATATTAACAGGACTGACTGTGAATTTTGATTTAGAAAGAGCCTCTCAGCACAGCCAGGTTTTCATCTGTCCTTGCCTTTCCAACATAAGTTTGTCACTGTCTTCTTAAACAAGTGGTTGCTTTTTAATTTAAGTGATTCTGTTGCAAGTACCCCCACCTTTCCATAGTCAGGGCCATTAAAGCATCAATATATATAATATCTTGATCAATCAGGATTATAACAATATCAAATATATGACAGCATTCCCTGGAAATATGTTTAAAATGCAAATATTAAACCCCACCTCTCATAACTAATGAATGAGAATATGCATTTTAACAATTCCAAGTAATTAAATGAATTTTCAAGTTGAGAATAGAATCTTCTGCTCCTATGGAAGGCACTTTTTGAAGTTCTTGGAGATAATCAGATTGAGACACAAGTGAAACTGAAACCCCCCCCAAAAAAACACCATAATATCAATTTATATTATTTAAATGTGACTCACAATGTTTGGTGAATTAGAATAAACAGTTATTCTCTCAAGGTAGTCAGGTTATGTAAACAACCAAATCATTGAAAGGTTTCTTGGCCACTGAGGGATTAAAATACCCAATGGATGTTTAACTACGGGAATAATTTTGTCTTATGGGAAATAGTTGAACTCTCTTTATGGTAACAGCTACTTTCATGTCCATGAGAGAAAACTGGACACATTTCACCGGGAAACCACCCTCTTGGGATAGAAATTCCCATGTTTTGTGCATGACTCATCCTATTCCTTAATACTTCTGAAGGGGAGCAGAAAATGATAATGCAGAAGATGCTTCTTGGGTTTGAGGATTATTTTGAGCTGAATAATTTAAGAAAAGCAGACACAGAAGAAGCATTGAAAATGGAGTGAAAGTTAACCTTTCTCAAGAGACATTTACATTTATAAAGGAGATTATCCTTTATGTCTCCCTTTCTTAGCAAGAAGAAAGACTCTGACTCACAAAAAATAAAAATAAAAAAATTAAAAAAACCTTAGCAAAGACAAGACAGGAGGGAAAATCTGACTGACAAAAACAACGCTTTTTACCTTTGTTTTCCTGGTAACCTCTCATAACTGTACTCTCCTACTTCCCAACATATTTCTTTTATCTTTAGCTAAAGATGCTATTTAAGGGGCTGGTTAAGACCATATCAGGAAGTTACTTGGTTCCTTGTGTATCTCCCATAGTATGTTTGATATACATGTCGTTAAATTTCCCGTTGACTTTTTAATATGCTTTTATTACAGGGTGTCACAGTCAGGAAGTCAGAGGTGGAAGAAAATTCTTTTTCTTCCCTCTCTTCTTTCTTTAGAATTTTTAATATTTTTAAGCCTATAACTTTCAGATTTTGCTGACCTAAGACTACTTCCATATCACTCAAAGAGACTGAGCAAAGATAATCTGTGGTGGTTTAATTCTATAAAGGTAATTTCATTTCTCTCAATTGTTGGAGAAGCTTCCCTCATGCTCATGGCAGTAGCTAACTATTGCAGAACATGATTGACATATGTAGGGACAAAAAACAGTTTTCCCTCTACCATTTTGTGCTTTTGTCTGAGACCCTTGTAATAAAACACAGATGATCAAGAGAAAAACCAAAAAGAGTTTATTGACATGTATACCACATTCACAGTAGAAAATGAGCAGTTCTCTGAGGTGACTTAGAATTCAGACTTAATGTCATCTTAATAGGAAAAGTGAAGAGAGGAAGTAAGCCATTTAGGAAGGGTAGATTATTTTTAGAAGGATTGTTTGGTCCTTGAAAACAACAGATGGGAGATATAATAGTTTGTGACAGAGTTTGTCTGGGTGAGGAATTGACCTTTAGTCTCCTTTCCTGTGATAATACTAGTGTGCAGAAGGAGGGGAACCCCAGGACTCCCATACTTGCATGCCCTAAATGGTTCTGCCACCCACCGCATAAGACAAAGTATACTCTTAGTGTGAAAGAACTTTAATAGGACAATGTTCATAGAGAGAGAGAGAGAGAGAAAAGATAATAATTTCCAATAAAACACCCAAAGTTACCCATCCCCAGCCAAACAGTGTTGGCCCAAGGTAGGGCAGCTGAGACGCAAAAACTTGCCGTGAGTCTAAGGCACCTTTCTGGTCAGGAACCATAGGACAGGGGTACAAGGGGTCAGGCAAGTTTGGGATGAAAAGGAACAAAAATCAGAGTATAAATCAAGGTAACAGCTGCTATTGTCAGCTTCCCCACAGGCTCCTCACACACTTCTCTTCCAAGTATCTCTGCATGTCTTGACTCTCTACGTGTCTCCTTCCAATGTTCCGCAAGTGAAGTCCATGGTGAAGGTCCAAGGCTGGGACGCAAGCAGGACTTCTTTGCAAGTCTGCCTTATGTGCCTCCTTTAAGCCTTTTTCTATGTCTCCTCTCCACTCAGCTCCACCCTTAATTAGTTGGAGCAGAGAACCTGAAAATCTCCCCTTTTAATGGAGATTAGACTGTTAAAATAATCGTCAAACTTTCTTGGGAATGAAACTCCGGGGGGGTGACTTATGACAATTGAGTTCCTTTTGGAGGATCTGTCTTTAGAAAGAGAAGGGGAATCAGAGAAAACTTCTCCCTGTATTTGCAGGTTTACAAGAGCCCGTAGCTCAAAATAATCACTATACCTAAGTGGCTTATTTTCAGATGATGTATTCTGCCATTCTTCACACATCTCAACCACTTCAATAATGTCCAAGTACATTTTGGTCTTTCAAATATAAATTTTTAAATGATGCTCTCAAAGGAACATAACCAAAATTCTGTAGTTCTCATCTCAACTAAGAATATCAGATCCCTATAGCACCAAAACTTACTAGAATCATCTGAAAATCTTTCAGAAGTAGATCATGAACCCATTGCATCAAAATTTCTGGGACTAAGACCTTGTTAACATTTTTACAATACCTCCCATGCTATTCTGATGTCAAATAAGATGAAGAACATTGCCAAGAGCATAATTAAAATTAATTTCTCAGATGGATAGATAACTCAGTAGGTTATTTCTTTAGCCTAGAATAACATAACAACTGTTAAAATCTCCTCTGGCACTTTTCTAGTCAGACTATAGGTGACAAAAGGTAACTGGACACCTTGATTTATTTTTAAAGTATTTGTAATTGAATTAGTTAAAAAAAATACAAGAAGATATTTAAAAATTAAATATAAATAATAACCTAACTCTGGTTACTAGCAACATCATTAATTGTATCCCATTTCCTTCTAGTAATGTTTGTGTGGAATTTAAATCAAAATCTGTATTTGTGATGAAATACGTACATATGTGTGTATATGTATATACCTATGTATATATATGTACATATTCTTTTTATCAGCAAATAAAAGAATGTTCAAATGCTCTGTTTCCCTAACTTCAAATTATTTGAAGAAGCTTCTAGATGTATAGTGTGAAATCAAAATACTTAACACAATGGCACATGGTAATATAATTAACTTTGTATTGTATCTAAGATTATTAAAACGTTCTCTTATGCAAAAATTGAAATAACTTTTCAAAAAATTCATGTGGAAATTGATTAGTGAATTCTTTTCTCAAGCCTGGAACATTATAGTGCATATATAATATATAGTATTATAGTCATTAATTATGTATTATACACACAGTGGTGACAAACCAGAAATATCTCCAGGAATGACTGTCATGACTTTTTTTATTTTGCCAGGGTTATGGTGGCTATGTTGCATCAATGATATTAAAATCAGATGAAAAGTTTTTTAAATGTGGAACAGTTATTGCACCCATTACAGACTTGAAACTATATGGTGAGTACTTCTTCCAGGTTGACCTCTTACAACATATTGATTTGTAGAAAAGAAAATCCCAGTGCAGAGAAGCTCAACTGAACTCTTTTATCATGTATTATCAGAGATATTTGCAGCTGTTTGTCATCTCCCTGAATCAATCAGTTTTATTGGAGCATGACAATGAAGTGTGAAATGTAGAAATTAAATAATGAAATATGGTAGTCAAATGATTTTTATTTTATTCTCAAACTTCTGTTTTCTTGCACACAGCCTCAGCTTTCTCTGAAAGATACCTTGGTATACCATCTAAAGAAGAAAGCACATACCAGGTAACCAACTTAAAAATAATGAAAGGAGCGCCGGGCGTGGTGGCGCGCGCCTGTAGTCCCAGCTACTCGGGAGGCAGAGGCAGGAGGATCGCTTGGTCCAGGAGTTCTGGGCTGCAGTGAGCTATGCTGATCGATCGGGTGTCCGCACTAAGTTCGGCATCAATATGGTGACCTCCCGGGAGCGGGGGACCACCAGGTTGCCTAAGGAGGGGTGAACCGGCCCAGGTCGGAAACGGAGCAGGTCAAAACTCCCGTGCTGATCAGTAGTGGGATCGCGCCTGTGAATAGCCACTGCACTCCAGCCTGGGCAACATAGCGAGACCCTGACTCGAAATTAAAAAAAAAAAAAATAATAATGAAAGGAGCTATGGATTTTTCTTCAAAAATTTTAGGAAAAGGGCAAATACAGATGTGTGTGTGTGTATATATATATATATATATATATATATATATATACACACACACACACAGATATGTGTTTATATACTTACACATGCACACACATATATAAATAAATGTTTATGTTTTCCTTTATAGGCATCCAGTGTGCTACATAATATTCATGGCTTAAAAGAAGAAAATATATTAATAATTCATGGAACTGCCGACAGTGAGTATTATATTTGTTGCTACTGATTGATAGGGTCTGTGCTTGAACAAAGGGGTACATCTAAAGACTTGCATCCACGGAATCCTGTAATCCTGAAGAAGAGACCAGAGGGCAGTGGCACAAAGTATATGACACATGTTAGGGATGGGATTAGGAATAAAGGAGACAATTATCCTCAATAGCTGCGCTATCCAATGAAACTTTTTGGAATAGTGGAAATATTTTATATCTGTGCCACACATGGTTCTTAGATCCTTGAAATATATTTAATATGACTGAGGACTGATTTTTTATTTTACTATTTTATTTAATTTAAGTGTAACCATGTAGCTAGTGAGTACCACTATGGTGTTATCCAGCATGCCTCAAATGGAAACTAATCTGGAAAACTGCAGGATACCAAAATGGTACAGGCACTGCATTGACATTCTGATGATACCTGACATTAAAACAAAAACTTTTAAAAAACACTTTTTTATATCACCTCTCATTTTCTCATTACTTCAAACATTGAAGATTGATGTGAATGATATTTCTAGTAGTAAATAACATCATTTTACATCCACTGTAAGCATTTAGGGCTCAAAGAATTCATATTTTTTTTATTATTCTATGTTATACTTTACAACAGAGGGCTGAGTATTTATAGCCCCATTCACAGATGAGAAAAATCAATTTCAAGGAGAAAACTGATTTATCCAAGGCTACCTGGCAAGTGAGCAGAAAGTCAAAGCATTGAATCAATATTTCTTAAGTCTTGACTAGTTTTTGTTGCTCCACCCTGCCCTACCTCAGTTTTTTTAATCTCATTTTACAAAGAGTACCCCTAAAAAGTTCAAATATCAAAGATTATACCAGCTCTAATTTAACTTTCAAGCATGTAAGGCCATTGTTAAATTAGAGCTCAGATCAATACTGACATATAGTTAAACAAGTTGGTGGGGAAGGAATACATTTTTCTTTGGTAGATTTCGAGATAATTTATGTCTATACCCTCCTGCAAGGAGGCAAAGCTTAACTCTCCTCCCATCTCTCCCCTTCTAAAGTGGGTTGCACTAAGTCATTTGCTTCAAGAGCCCTGTATGAAAAAAGGGAGAAAGTGTAATTTACAACAGAGAAAGCTGACAAACAACACCTCAGCCAGGTGATCAGGGTTAACATCAATGGTGACAAGTCACACTGATATTACGCGCCTTGGCATGATTTTCCAAAAACAGCATTCTGTCTTTATCATCTTGTTCCCAAAACCCATAACCCTGGTCTAACAATCAGAAAAACATCAGATAATCCCAAAGGTGGAACATGCATCACATGTCTGACAGGGGCCCCTTAGAACTGGCAAAGTCATCAAAAACAAAGAACAAAGAGGTTATGGATATATGTTTCCTAGATTCCTTTAGGCTGTGACACAGAGCAAAGTCCATACCGCCACGAAACTAGCCCTGGTGCAAGAGCAGAGTCATCACAGGACAGGCACTTAGGGAGTTCCTTCCCCTCATTACCTAACATTAGTTGAAAGGAAGACAACTGAGACTACAACCCAAAAGGCATTATGCTTCCAGAAAAATCTCCAATAAATATATTGCAAGCAACAGTAGTAGCTGTTGGATTGGGCTTCAAAGGAAAGGATGGAGAAATTCAACCAGTTTATGTAGAAATTGGAAATGAGGTTGGCAGGTACCTGCATACAGAGAGTGAAGTAGTTCTCTACAAAGATCATTTTTTATTTTGAGGAGGTGATGACCTTGAAAAGTATGCAGATTGAAATAAGCCACTTTTGAAGTGTCATTACTGAACAACTATTGAAGTTGTCCATTCTGCTGTTTTCAGAAATCTTCCATCATGTAAATAATTACGATGTCTCTCTTTCATAATAAAATGATATTTAAAGATGAAATAAAGGTTATTGACTTGAAACAAATGTGTAATACTACTGCAAGATGTTGACTATAGGGAAAACTAGGAAAGATACATGTAGAAATGCTTTGTAATATCTTTGCAGTTTTTCTGAAAATTTGTTATAAAGTTTTAAAAAGCAGGTGATACCATACCAACCTTGGGTGAAACATGATAAAGAATAGCAGAGACCCTTTGAAAGACATTAGAATTTTGTTCTAAGGTATTAGGATCCCAAACATTAATATTAATGGCAAATAACAAGTATTGAGTAGTGACTGTCAGCAAGTGTGCCAAAAGCTTTTAATATGTTATCTGTTTTTCATAAAAATAATGTATAGTAGGTATTATTTTGCTTTTAATTTAACAGACTGAAAAGATAAATATTATGGTTTTCACATAACTTGCCAAAAATTATATAACCACCAATTTGTTGAAAGAGAATTTGAATCTGACATCGTGGCTCTTATTCTGAAGCCTCATTTATGGGATTATATTATATTCAAAGCTAAATTATTTAAAATAAGTCTTCACCCTCAAATATAATATTGCTAATTGAATTTCTCTGTCAATACATTGCAGTTAGTAAGGTAAATTCTGTTGCTCCTATTTGACTCAGTCATGGACCTCGTGCTTCACCTGCCTGATAAAATATGAGCAGATTTTCAGCACAGGTGACATCAAAGGAATATATTTACATGCTGGTGTGCACACACATACACACACACACACACACCGGCCTAGTGCATTATTATAAATATAGTGACACCAGTCAACTGTATTTAATACTAACTCTGTTAATGTTATCATCAAAAATTACAGCTAATCAGTTTACTCAGCCAATAAGACCTTTGACACCTCTATTTAGTTTTAGGAAAGGGACAAATGCAGAGAAATGATGAAATCAGTTTACAGTGTCGTCCCACACTATACAAAATGCGCTATATAAGAAATTATTTTTCCTCAGTCATTGCTCCGATTTATTAGAATTTCTAGTAGGTGACATTTACAGAGCAATTTATAAAATTATTGGAGATGATACAACAATTTTCCATTTAAGTACAATAGAAAGATGTTGAAAAAGACCTTGGGTATATTTTCAAAAGTTTCAAATGGTAACTTAGAATTAAATTTTGAAATGTTTGTATTAATTTAAAAGTAGTTTTTTTTTAATTGCAGTAACACTGTTTTATAAAATTAAATAAGGTTCACCTATATAGTTCCATATTTGACATCTGTGTATATTACACTTGATCAACACCAGAAGTATAATTCCATGCACCATCATAAAATTGACCTCCTTTACTCGTTTTACTCACCACCCCACTTTCTTCTTCTACCCCTCTGGTAAGCACCATTCTGTTGTCACAATCAGAGTTTGTTTCTGTTACGTTTTGTTTGTTTTATTTCTTTATCATCCATGAGTCAAAAGCACATGGATGGGGAATATAAAAATAAAATTTATTAATTAAAAAAAAATAATAAAAAAATTTAAAAAAGCACATGGCATTTGTTTTTTCCTCTGACTTATTTCTTCACATAATTTTCTCAAAGTTCGCCTATGTTGTTACAAATGACAATGCATAATATGTCTGATTGTTCTGTAGTCTTCATTGTGTGTATATATCACATCTTATTTACCCATTCCTCTGCTGATGGGAACTAAGGTTGTTTTCACATCTTGGCCATGTAAATAATGCTGCACTGCACATGGGGTGCATAGATCCTTTTGTATTAATGGCATCAATTATTATCTGCTATGTAGTGAGGTTAATTAGAATTAAGTACAATTAGAGCAATAGATAAGTTTGAACTATTGACAAGACTACCACAGCTTTACAAAAATAGTTTTAAATGTAGCCTAAAAATTATTTACGGAAATTTGAAGATGTATATAGTATAGGAATGAATAACCCAGCCATTATATGAGCAAAGTACTATACAGTGATTTTCCCAGGTCTTCATTGCTAATTAAGGCCAATGCTGCTATTCAGCTCTGGTTTTCTGTGCTGCTTATTTCAGATTTTTGAGACTTAGTTTCAGGCAGAAGAAAACTAGAAGGAAACTGGAGTAACCGGTATGATCCACATTAAATATTTAGCCCTTGAAAAATGAGATGTGTTATATTCTCTCAAAATGGAATATTCTTTTCTAATTAAATATAAAATAGAATTCCAGTATTTGACACTGGGCTCTGGTAATCTTCAGAAAGGAATAGAAAGCTGCATTCCTGTATTACTAATCAGACAGGCATTTTCTATGTTAAAATTGTGATCATGGTATGAAATATGTGAGCAATTAGATATAATGAATAGTAGTCAGTAAAGTAAATGCCATCCTGTACAATAAGTAAGATTTGGTAGTAGCTCCTATTTCCATTTCTTTTTTTTTTCTTTTTTCAAATTGAGGGTAACATTGGTTTACTGCACTGTATATGATTTAGGGGAATAGGTCATACCTCCTCAGATGTATTCATCACCCAAACACCCACAGTCTTTTACCAAAGTATATAGGCCCCCCTTTTTTCTCACCCTGCCCACCCTCCCTCTCTAGTAGCCTCAATTGCAGTCATATCTATAGGATTTGGTTTTTAGTTTAATTTTGTCAGTTCCTTTGTTTTGTTTCTCTACATTTCACATAAGTAAAATCATCTGGTATTTGTCTTTCTCCTTTCAGTTTATTTCTTTATATTATGACAATTGAAGTTTTATTAACTTTGTATCTACTGACTTCCTACTTAAAACCAGGTATCAGTCCTTTAAGTGTGTAGTGTATGTTAAATAAAATAATCCCTCTGATAAAGGCTAATATGAATAATCTCTGATCCTAAAATGTATTTCCTTCAAATATCATAATTTAATTTCTTGCAGCAAAAGTTCATTTCCAGCATTCAGCAGAATTAATCAAACACCTAATAAAAGCTGGCGTGAATTATACTATGCAGGTAAGTCATCTTTTTCAGAATTGCTTTCCTACACTGGTTTTTCATTGGGAATATAGATAGAACACAATTTCTGCACTAGTCTATCCCCCACACAACTAATGCTTACTGGTTTTTTTTTTTTTTTTTTTTTTTTTTTAGTTACCAAGATTTTAGGTTGCTTTTTTTTTTTTTTACAATTATACCAAGAACATGGATCAACTCAGGCTTTACAAGTGAATCCCATGCACTGTTTCAAAAACATCTCCTCAGGCTTTTATTCCTATCACTGATAATGAATTATTTTTAAAGTTCCTATTTCATTTCTTGTCCTTTTCTCTTTCTTTCTGTCCCTTCTTATCACTCTGATTGTAAAAAGTAGAATAAAATGTGTTTTGAGGAAATACATTTTCCTCAAAAAATTTTAAGAAAAGGAGAACATAACATCACTTACTTTTAGTATTCAGCCATGTCTGATAAATATTTATCGATACTTACTTTCCTGTGGTCCCCATGTCACAAGGGGCCAACAGGATGCACTTTATACCATCACAGAACTTTCGGACTGAGGGAAGAGTCATAGAAGAGAAACACGTCATTTTAATTGCTCAGTGTTTTGAAGAATCCATAGGAACTCTGCATATCTAAAATACTAGTGCCAGTATTAGATGATGAAATATGAAATGTAGAGATAAGCAGAGGGTGGCTCTTGCTGTGAACAATGTGAAGTCTGAAATTTTGCTTAGAGGTCAGACAGAGCACCATTTAAAACCTTTCCCTCTAAGAACTGATCTGAAAATATTTATTTTTGTATTTTAGATAAATCACTAATCATTTATATTGGAAAGCATATTGCCAGTGTAAAAATGGTACCAAATAAGTTTAAACAAGTAAGGATGTTTTAGTCAAGACTATTATAATATGTGAGACTGAACTTAAGTCTGTTGAAATAAAGAGCTGGAATGGTTTATAATGGCCAAGGTGCAGGGAATCATAGGTTACCTGTGTTTGGTAATTGGTCTTACCAAAAAAAAAAAGGAAACTTTCTTGTATATTTATGCAGAAGGCAATTTTACAATTCCTATCTCTTTATAGAGACTGGGAGATAGGGGTGCTGTCTCCTTCAGTGATCACAATCAGAGGAATGGTACCCAAGTCCATGGGAAAAACATTTCCTGAGTTGTAAAACTGGCAAGAGTCTGTAAGAAGATTTACATACATCATAAAGGGGCAGAAAAATAATTTACATTTGCAAATTTTCTAAAGTAAATGCTCAGAGCTTGTAGTTAGGAAGAAACTGTCTAAAGTTTAGTCAAGCAGAGGGAATAGGAATGTCCTTGTGGTCAAGATAAACATGGAAATCTCCTGTTTTTTCAGTCAACACATCTCATTTAAATAAAAAAAAAAGTGCTTTGTCTCAAATGTTGAATATGATTATAATGGGAAAGACAAATTTGGCATGAAGAACTCCGAGTTGAATTGGATGAGCTTTCGGTTAGCTATTATTTTCTTACTTCCTGTGTAATTGGGGTAAAAAGAATGCATCCTGAGAGTCAAGAACTCCTTTAGTAACTTAAAATCCCCTGACCTCTCTATCTTAGGTCTACCCAGATGAAGGTTACAACGTATCTGAGAAGAGCAAGTACCATCTCTACAGCACAATCCTCAGATTCTTCAGTGATTGTTTAAAGGAAGACATACCGGTGTTACCACAGGAACCAGAAGAAGATGAATAATGGACCCTATTTATATAGAACTGAAGGGGATATTGAGGCTCAATGAAACCGAACCAAGAGACTGTAATATTGTAGATGCTCCAGAATTTCGAGGGCAGCTTAAGGAGATGACAGTGGAACAGCACACTCAGAGACAATGAACTAGAATTTGAATACAGAAGTCCAAATCTACTGCGATGCCTAGGGTGCAAAACCTGTTTCTTTGTGTAAGGAAGGTCAAGGGTTGGTTTCCTGGCAGAAATTAGTTTTGCATTAAAGTAGAAGTAGTGCATGTTTTCTTCTGTTATCTCCCTATTTGTTCTGTAACTAGTTGCTTTCATTTTAATTTAAATGGCCACCATCATCTTTGCATATAATGCACAACTTATCAGTACTACAATCCCTGATCTTTGATGGCTGAGCTGCAATCTAACACTTTACTGTACCTTTACAATAAGTGCAATTCCTCATTGTCTTATTATGCTTAAGAAGTATTCAGTTAATAAAAACAGAGTATTTTATGTAATTTGTTTATAAAAAGACATTATTAATGGGTCATGTAGAAATATGGATTTCAGCACCTTCCAAAGTCCAGCCAGTTATCAGTAGACACAGTATCTTTAAATCAACACACAAGTGTATGGCTCACAATAGATATACACAAGTGTGCATATACAATCAATAAATCTATCTTACATGTTACTCATGCTACAAAAGTTAAAATTTTAATGAATTAGAAGAGAAACTCTTTTGCAGGCTATAATGGATGCTTTGTTTAATGAGCCAAATGTGAAGAAACATTTTTTTTCCAATTCAAATTCTAGCTATTGCTTTCCTACAATGATTGGGTTGTGTTTGGTATTGTTTTTAGTGGTTAATAGTTTTCTAGTTGCAATTTAATTTTTTGAATATGATACCTTGTCACATGTAAATTAGATACTTAAATATTAAATTATAGTTTCTGATAAAGAAATTTTGTTAACAATGCAATGCCACTGAGTGCTATTTTGCTCTTTTGGTGGAAAAGGCTTTTTTAAGAACACTTGATCCCTTAACTTCTACCCCTCAATGCATCTCATTTTCATTGTCAAAGTGAAGAACTGGCTTATTTCACTTGCTAGTTCCTGTTTAGTATTCCGTGCCTGCCCAATTCATCTGTTACTGATTAATTTAAATTCTTCTGGTGAGAATTAGAAATGAAATTTTTTTAATTCATTGGCCAAAAAGTTCACAAACAGCAGTGTTTGCTATTTAATTTGAGTTGAAGTCACTCCATGCATTAAATTCTAAATTCCTGTGCTGTGTTGACTTGCAGTAGTGAGTGAGCTAACTTGAACTGCATAAAGTCAAATTTAAGTCATGAGAATATTGACTTTGGTGACTAAAGATGAAGAGTATCTTCTCACTATACTTGAGGGACCTTCCAGAAGATGTCTCAAGATCTGTAACCAAGCTTAGAAGTTCTGATAAATGTAGGCAGTAAACTGTGTTTTGTGGTTTTGAAAAATTTCTTAGGGCAGACGGGATTATCATGACTTCAGAACACCAGGAGGAAACTTAAAAATTCATGAAACTACTTACTAGTCCCCTTTTTGTCAAAGGATCAATCCAAAAATCTGGGAATTTGGAAACATATGAGTCATTTTGGGGGGTAATCTACTTTTCTATTGGATGATTTGGAATTGTTCCTTCACTGCTCCATTGGATTCAATTTAAAATGAGAAAGGCTTTCTTTTCTGAAAGACAAATTTCAGGTCTTTTTCAAAAATAGCAAACACATTAAAAATAAGTTGTAATGTTTAAAAGGAAAGTTTGCCTATTTTATTAAGATGAAAATTTCTTTTTAGGTTGATTTGAAGTCCAACTGAAGCTTTTTAATCAATATTTTAAATTTCAATGACTAGAGTTTTTTATGATGCAAATATTATGTTGTCTGAAAGATGTGGTTTTATTGAATGTTTATTTAAGTAACATTTAAAAAGTATTTACCTTTACTGTTCATCATCTCTCTTGTTTTATTATTATTATCATCAGTGCTTATGGATTTTTCAATTAATTTAATACAGTTTCTAATATGAAAGACATTTGTCTGGAACCCACTTTCACCTTAAGGTTAAAAGAGATCTCAAATTAAGACTATTGCTTAGTAGAAGGGTGGAGAAATTTCTTCTCTGTGGTTCTTCGTGTTTTAATATTTGGACCATTGTAGATAAAAGTAGTGCTCACCAACACAGACACCTATTTTTAAAGGATTATGTAGCTGGATTGCCTCCTTTATACTTGTACCCTTAACCACAGACACGCTACTTCATATGTATTTATGCATTCTAAGAGTTTCCTAGGACTCCATTTGCAAGCTTTCCAAGTGTTATTTTCTCCTTAAAGTAAAAAAAAAAAAAAATAAAGATAAACTAAAATTCTACAGTAAAAGAGGTAAGAAGTATAAAATCATTCATAGAGATAAACATGTAAATTTTTGAAGTTATTTCGAGAGGGAAAGTGTTTTTTCACTTCAATTGCCTTCATTGAGGTCTTTAACTCAAAACGTAGGGACTAAAGAGATGGCTGATCTGTTTTAGTTTCCTAGAGAACTAAGGGAAGAGGATGCTTTACAAGACTTGATCTCAATTCACCATGAGTATGTGGCGGTTTTTGGTTTTGGGGTTTTTTTTTTGTATTTTTTGCACAGAAATCAACATTAAGGTTCTTGCATATGCTATTGTAGATCTACTGGTATGGGTCAACTTACACATTGGTTTTTACTAAACAGAGAATCATTTAAACGCATTGTCCTCAAATGGTGAATTTTGAAATGCAGGTACCTGGAACTGAATTGCTTTCAAATCTCAAGGGTCCCTTAAGGCACATGACTCCTATAAAGAATCACATATGAATTACCTCTTTCATCCTTCCTCACATGCCTGGACCATCTTCACATGCTGCAACAACCAGCATTACATAAATAAAACCTGACACCTCAGCCCTGCTCTGTAGCTTCCAATTTCTGTCTTGACTGTGTGCTACAATGAACAGACTTATCATCTATATACTATTATGAGGATGTGTTAATGCCTCCACTGAAAACAGGAAGAGTGACTAACTGCTCACTTCCTTTCCCTCACATTTCACATGGTCCTTGGAAGGAAGGGCCCATGGTCTCAGTTGCATCCAATTTCCATCTTCCCCATTTCACTGTTCACAGTTTCCTACTCCTGTACCTTAGAATCACTTCCCAAAACAAACTAAATACACCAGTTGATGACTCAGGTTCTACTTTCTAGCCAAAACCCTTTCCACAAGAGCTTAACACTGGCTATTATAGATAGAAATAAAATGAGAATAAATGAGTTGTTTCTTTTCAGGTTTGAAAATGCTGTGTCTTCCTAAACTGTCAAGTGTGTGCTAAGTGTTCTATGTTCATTATCAGATTGCATCTTTCCACATACATTCAAATACTATTCTGACTTCCATTCTACAGATGAGAAAATTGAGTCATAAAGAAGAATCCAACTTGTCCAAATTTTTGTACTTATGAGTAAATAACCTAAAATTCATCTCCAGATCACTTAGAAGCCTATGCTCTTAGCCACTCTACTCTATGGTAATTATTTAGCCCATGTATCTGAGAAAGGATTTGGAATATCTAAAAATAGACTTTCAGATATTTTTAAGAATGATTTTATAGCAATACTTCTCAAAGTGATAATCCAGTCCATCAATGTAGCCATGTTTAAAGTTACATGGCTTCCCTAATGTCAAGAGAATATATAATGTTAAAATAGATTTTCTTTTTCTGTTGAAGATCTATATGAGTTCCATGACTTCTGACTATGGAAACCATTATCCAGAAAAACTCATGCATATATGACTGCGTATAAATTCCCTTGGTCTAGCATTATGTGAAAGGCATTCCAAATCATTCCAAGAGACATTCAAAGCATCGTGTTGATTAAAGCATGTTAAGATTGTAAACATGAAAACAAAAAATTCACCATCTTCCAAAACTGCAAATCCAAAGGCACATTGCAACATTTAGAGTCACAGCTAGCATCCACAATCCTGTGTGCAATTTGACTTAGGAAAATTGCACTGACTCACTTTTCTACTACTATTAGCAATAGAATTTGTTTACCAGTGAGCAGATCTATGAACACTTCTATTCCATTTTGTGATATTTCAGCAATTTTGGGGAGGAGAGTCTGTGAATTCACAAACCCTTTCTCTCATCAAAGACAAGGCAGACAGGAATTAAAAAAGAAACAAGTCATAGCAAAGTACAATTTTGATCATCTTTATTTTAGACTTCCAATTAAGTTAAAAATAGTCTAATACAAGCATCACTGACTTTCGATACAGCAGCTTTCTTATAAGAGATGTCTCTGTTGATTACTGCAGAACTTCCTTTCCTATCAGAACTAGCACCATTTTAACTAAATAATCTTTAACATGAGTGAAAGTACAGAATTCCACACTTAATATTATAGAAAAGGAACTCACATTTTATGAGTTATTTTATTTTATATAATTCTTACATCATTTTTCATTTTTGCATAATGTCTGCATTTTCATTTTGGATATTCCTCATACAATTCCCACCCCCTTTTTCTGACCCTAATCCCTCTTCCCCTCTCCCCACTCCCCTTTTAGTGTGTCTGGTCTGTAGTTGCTTGTTGATTTTGATTTTCACTTTATTGCAATTAGTCTTTTTCCTGGTCCCTTATTTAGGTTTTCTAAATTCCTACTATGAGTGAGACCATCCGGTATTTTTCTTTCTCTTTCTGGCTTATTTTGCTGAGCATGATCCCTTCCAACTCCATCCATGTTACTGCAAATTGCATGAGTTTATCTTTTTTGATTGCTGAGTAATATTCCGTTGTGTATATATGCCACATCTTCTTGATCTAGTCATCCATTTTGGGGCATTTGGGTTGTTTCCATAGCTTGGAACTCACATTTTTTAACACCTATACTTTTTACAGCTTACACTTAACTAATTCTCAAACCTGCACTATGAGAGACAAGATTGTATTATTTTCTAATGAAGAAATCAAGATTCAGAAAGGTTAAACAATTTCCAACAGGGTCACATATGCATTTGAATGAACCAGGATTCAAACCATGAACCTCAGGACCTCTGCTGTGATAATCTTATATTCCTTTGTTAACTGGTAGACTTAACTTTCAAGTCCTTTGAAGTAGCAGCTTGAAGTAACTGTATGCAACTTCAAAGTGGCTTAAATACTGACACAATATGTGGACACTGAACAACACCTGAAAGTTTCTTAGGAATGCAGGCTCTTAGGAACAAAATGGCCCTCCTAAGTAAGAATCTGAGTGTTAGCAAGATACCTGAGTGTTTTGTATGCACAATAAAATTTGAGAAGTACCAGCTTAAATGACAATTTTTTTAAAGATTTATTTTTTTATTTGTACAAGAACCGGGGTACAGTCAGAAGTGCAGGAGGGTGAGAGAATTCACCAGAGCCAGAGCAGGGAGAAGAACAAGCAAAAGGACCAAAGTACACTGCTGAGGGGAGCAGTGGGCGGCTGAAGAGGTCTGCGCTCCATGTGGGACCCTCGCCCAGCAGCCGGGGATCAAACTGGTGCTGCAGAGGCTGTGGGCAGCTTTGCAAGGCAGCACTCAACCTCTGCGCAACCGGGGAGGCCCTTAAATGACAATTTTTATCTACTCACATCTCATGAAAGCTAAAGTTGGGTCTCTAGGGGAAGCTGAATAGATCAATGAGGGAATCAAATCTCAGTCTCTTCCCATCTTTCCACTTCTCCAGCTTCAGTCTGTTATTTGTCTACATCATTCTCTTCAAGACATCATTCTTTCCCAAGCCAATGCATACTTTTACAGTAATGTCCAAGGACAGATAAGCAAGGGATGACATTTTTTTTTATTGTGGAAAGAAATTTTTCTACAGAAATTTCAAAAAGAATTCTCCTCAAGTCCCTTTGTTCAGCCATTGGTTGCTAGTCTTTTT